GTCAGTCCTCAGATCCCAGCAGCCAGCCAGTCAACCACCAAGCAAGGTCGGCAAGGCGCCCAGGCCCCCCAGCAGCCAGCCAGCCAGCCAGCCAGAGGCCCCAGGCCCCCCAGCAGCCAGCCAGCCAGCCAGAGGCCCAGGCCCCCCAGCCAGCCCAGCAGCAGAGCCCAGGCCCCCCAGCCAGCCAGCAGAGGCCCAGGCCCCCCCCAGCCAGCCACAGGGCCAGGCCCCCCAGCCAGCCAGAGGCCCCAGGCCCCCAGCAGCCCAGGCCCAGCCCCCCAGCCAGCCAGAGGCCCAGGCCCCCCAGGCCAGCCACAGGCCCCAGGCCCCCCAGCCAGCCAGAGGCCCCAGGCCCCCCAGCCAGCCAGCCAGGCCCAGAGCCCCAGCAGCCAGCCAGCCAGCCAGCCAGCCAGGCCCAGAGCCCCCAGCAGCCAACCCAACCATCCAGAGGCCCAGGCCCCAGCCAGCCAGCCAGCCAGCAGAGCCCAGAGCCCCCAGGCCAGCCAGCCACAGGGCCCAGGCCCCCCAGCCCAGCCAGCCAGCCAGCCAGGGCCCAGGCCCCCCAGCCAGCCAGCCACAGGGCCCAGGCCCCCCAGCCAGCCAGCCAGCAAGCCAGCCAGCCAGGGCCCAGGCCCGCCAGCCAGCCCCAGGCCCAGGCCCGCCAGCCAGCCACAGGGCCCAGGCCCGCCAGGCCCCCCAGCCAGCCACAGGGCCCAGGCCCCCCAGCCAGCCACAGGGCCCAGGCCCCCCAGCCAGCCAGAGGCCCCAGGCCCCCAGCCAGCCACAGGCCCAGGCCCCCCAGCCAGCCAGAGGCCCCAGGCCCCCCAGGCCAGCCACAGGCCCCAGGCCCCCCAGCCAGCCAGAGGCCCCAGGCCCCCCAGCCAGCCAGCCAGAGGCCCCAGGCTCCCCAGCCAGCCAGCCAGCCAGAGGCCCCAAGCCAGCCAGCCACAGCCAGCCACAGGCCCCAGGCCCCCCAGCCAAAGGCCCCAGGCCCCGCCAACCCCAGGCCCCCGCCCGCCCGCCGCAGGCCCCCCAGCCGCCCGCCGCAGGCTGCCCGCCGCAGGCCGGCTGCCCGCCGCAGGCCAGCCGCCCGCCACAGGCCCGCCAGCCGCCCGCCGGCCACAGGCCAGCCGCCCGCCGGCCACAGGCCAGCCGCCCGCCCGCCACAGGCCAGCCGCCCGCCCGCCTGCCACAGGACAGCCGCCCGCCCGCCACAGGCCAGCCAGCCAGCCGCCCGCCACAGGCCAGCCGGCCGCCCGTCACAGGCCAGCCGGCCGCCTGTCACAGGCCAGCCAGCCGGCCGCCCGCCACAGGCCAGCCAGCCGCCACAGGCCAGCCGCCCACAGCCACCCACAGGCCAGCAGCCGGCCACAGGCCAGCCAGCCAGCCAGCCGCCACAGGCCACAGACTGCCAACCAGCAACCGTAATTGAGGTAAGAGGAGCCAACTTGGCCTAGGTATCAGAGGTATCAAGAGGTGTCCCAAGACAGCAATGTAAACACTGTCTTTTCTCTGAAAAGATAGTCTTTACATTAAAAATCCTGCACGGACATGCTACAGATACCAGAACAACTACATTAAGCTGCAGTGGTTCTGATGACTATAGTGTCCCCTTAAGAATTGTGTTTTTCATTTTTCAAAATGAAGCTTTGTTCGTTTAACCCCTTGAGGACCAAACTTCTGGAATAAAAGGGAATCATGACATGTCACACATGTCATGTGTCCTTAAGGGGTTAAAAAGACTGGCTCCTAACTTTTTAGCTGACTCCTAGATTCCAAACAAATTTGTCAAGCCATGCATTATAGTAACTTTTGTTAGAAAAATAAAAAATAAAAAATATATAAAATCACTTATAACATTCACGGAGCACATATATATGAAACCGTGAATCTGCACTCTCTTAAATGTGCTTACATTATGGGACACATTGACTTTGTGACAAGCTGATGCAGATGATCATATACTGTAGCTAGAGTACCTCTATTTTTGCTTCATTCCTGTGTTTTTTAAAAAACAATTATATTTTTCAAAACGTGGGTGAGTGTACTGGATTTTGTATAGTGTACTGGATTTTGTATAGTTTATAGCAGGGGTGCACGAAAGGTAGCTACCCAGATGTTGTAGAACTACAACTCCCATGATGCTTTGCATGCTTTTAGAATGGCAAAGCATTGTATAAGCTGTTGTTTTAAAAACATCTGGGAATCTACCTTTTGGGCACCCTTTTTAAATAAATAAATATATATATATATATATATATATATATATATATATATCTATCTAAAAAAATATTTTTTGACTATATTAAATATATATATTTTTATAACTCATTCGCCAGTACTCCAGTATTCTATTCGGCCGGATGCTAGTCTGCATCAATGCATACAAAATAAACCCTTTATTTACTTAAAGGGACACTACAATCACCCAGACCACTTCAGCTCAATGAAGTGGTCTGGGTGCCTGGCCCCCTAGGTTTTAAACCATCAAATGTAAAACTAGTAGTTTCAGAGAAACTGCTATGTTTACATTGCAGGATTAATCCAGCCTCTAGTGGCTGTCTTCCTGACAGCTGCTAGAGGCGCTTCTGTGACACTGGATGCGAAAATCGTGCTCTTGCCGCGGATTACGCCCCACTTGGGAGCTGACGCCGGCGGGGGTGGAGAGGTCACCGCGAGTCACTGCACTGGATAAAGGTAAGTGGCTGAAGGGGTTTTAACTCCTTTAGCACACCGGAAGGGGGAACCTAAGGGTTATATAGTGTCAGTAAAACGAGTTTGTTTTCCTGACACTGTGGTGATCCTTTAACTGATCCCTGCGCCAATATCCCTCTGCAGTGGGTTGATGCTCTGCCCCTTTTGACGTCCCACAACAAGCAGGCGCTAATGCGTTAGAAATGCTGCGCATGCAATTGTATGGCCTCTTAAGATTGGGCTAAATTCAGTTTTACCCCATGTGGGATGGTATTTATGCAAAAGGGACTTGTGCATGTACGGTGTCCTTAAAAGTTCAAGCACAGTACAGAATTGTGTATTTCCTATTTATTTTATCCTCTACGATGGTACTGACTGAGCACCTCCATCTTGGCATCCTGTAAATCAGTGTTCTAATATTGGCTCTATCCATTTTATTTGTCAGCCCACTTTGTGTGAATGTGCATTGGTTGTGTCAGGATTAAAGTTTATTATCTAGTGTTACTTTTTTTTTTTTTAAAGAAAGACTCGCTGCACTGAGATTTGACACCTACTGGTGCATGTAACCTGGCCCTCTGTTCATGGTATTGGTACATTTTTGCATATTCATATTTGGATGAAACTAACATTTCTGCTCTTGCTACACATAGTGTACTTATGTGATGGGTCTTGTAAGCTCTCTTCACCAGGAATGAGCACTAGGCCTTTTCTCAGTGATGAGTGGTAGGTACAGTGTACTCTGCTTTTACATTGTCCAGGTGTGTGTTGGGAAACTGTTCATGCACCAATGAATACATTATTGTAATCTAGATTTAAAAAACCCACAAATGTGTCATTGAGTTCAACCATTAAACATATCTTTTTAAATGTGTTTGGCAGTTCATTTTCACCTACAAATGATTGATGAGACTCATGTCTAATCCCTATGACACATTACATACGCAGGTTGTAGTCATTTTCAGCACTACAATGTCTTCATCAGAAGGTTATAAACACAAAAGTGGTGCAATGAAGAGAAATGAAAAGAAAGAGGAACAGAAGAAAATTGAAGCATCAACAAGCAAAATCCACAATTTTTTTCAAATGAAAACGGATCCAGAGCAGAATGTAGCAAGTGGAATGCCAGTGGAGACTGAAACTTCTGTTTCTGAAACATCTAATGTATGTGTTTTAGCTGAAGAGACCAAAGAGAGAGAACCTCCTATAAAAATGCCCAGGAAGGAGACTGCATTGTCTCCGCTATGGAAAAAATCACCGTCCCCAGAGGATTTCTTTCTTCATTCCCATGATTTGGGAAAGGCTGGAATTTCCATGGAAATGTTCTGGGAATTTCATCCTAAACAACCTACTCAGGACATCCCATTCAATGGAAACCTTGTTTACTTCCGAAAAGGTATACAAGGATCAAATATTAATAGAAAATGGGTTACTTACAATGGCAAAAAGAAGACCCTGCACTGTTCAATTTGCCTTATGTATTGTGCAGAAAAATATCATCATACTCATTGGATTCAGGGTTGTAATGACTGGAGACATATTACAACAAGACTTACCGAGCATGAGCAGTCCCAGTGCCATAAACTTGCTAGCGAAGCCTATATGATCAATATTAAAGGCAAATCGATCAAGCACAAACTTTCCGTTGACCAGCTTTCTATGAGGCACAACCAGGTACTTCAGCGCCGTACTGTTCTAAGCAACATCATTGATGTTTTTTTTATTGGAATCCAAGCATTGCCATACAGAAGCAGCCATTCAGAATCTGTAGCTGATGTCTTTGATGATGACCGTCTTGAAAATCGAGGAAATTTTTTGGAGGCGGTGAAACTCCTTGCGGAATATAGCCCAGTCCTAAAAGACCATTTGGTAAAAGTAACGAAAGTGGCCAAAAACCGTGACCCATCTCAAAAAGGGCGAGGAAAATTTGTAACTTTTCTGAGCAAGTCCTCTATAACTAAATTGTTTACAATCATTGGAGATATGATTAAAGAAGACATTGTTAAGGAAGTTAACAATGCAGGGATGTTTTCGGTACAAATGGATTCTACTCAAGATGTCTCTGCACATGATCAATGTGCCATTGTTGTGCGATATGTTGTGGAAGATAAAGAGCGATTGGTACGCCTTCTGAATGTTGAGGACTCCAGCAGCAAGGGCTTGCATGATTTGCTAAGAGATTCTTTGTCTGACATTGGACTGCATTTGGAGCAGTGTATTGGTGATTCCTTTGATGGAGCTGCTAACATGTGTGGCACATATACAGGATTGCAAGCATTGATGACAGAAGTGCGTCCTAGTCAAATTCATACGTGGTGCTACGCTCATGTCCTAAATCTTGTTATATGTGATGCAAGCAGTGTATGTGTTCCAGCAGTGAGTTTGTTTGGACTTCTTGGTAACTTGTCCACCTTTTTCTCTGAGTCCTACAAAAGGATCAAAATTTGGGAAGACCAGCTGAAAGCCAAGACTGGAAGAGCTAAACTGAAAAGACTTGATAAAATTGGTACTACCAGGTGGTCAAGCAAAGCCAGAGCCCTTCGAAAACTTTGCGGAACATATGAAAACCACTCTGAGGAATTATATTCTGACCTCATCCTTGTTCTGAAGCATGTAAGTAGTTCATCTGATTTTATAAATTCTGTTCGTCATGAGGCTCTAAAACTAAATGTAAATTTGAAACCATCCTGGCCGCTTTTACATTTATAAGAATTTTTGACATTACTACTCCCGTGTCAGATTACTTGCAGTCACCAGCCCTTGACATTATGCAGGCATGGCGAATGGTTGAGGATGCTACAAACCATTTATCAAAAATTTCAAGAGACTTTTCAGGAGTCTGTGGATCTGCAACAACTTTCATTGATCACCTGAATGAAAAACTAGCTGCAGAGGACATTGCCATCAGTAAATCTTTCACAGAACTCCAATCAACAAGATGTGTAGTTCCTGCAAATCAACAACACAGCTTTGAAGTTTCATGCTACAATGTCATCTGTGATAAAGTTTTGGAAAGTATGAGAACCAGGTTTGCCACTCATGGCAAACTTTACATGCAGATTTCATGTTTTGACCCAAATCGGTTTGAGGAAATACTGGCTTCTCCTGAAAAAATAAAGTTTGATGCCATTTCTACAGCTGTTCCTGAAATTGATGGCCCTGTTCTTCGTGAAGAATTGATTTCATTTGCATCAAGTTACAGAAATCTCTCCAGAGGACTGTTTGATAGTGATGATGAAACATTGAGCTCTGCTGGAGAGGAAGAACCTGACTTCTCTGACTCTGAGCCATCAGCTTGTAAGCCTTCTATGAAAAAACTCTGCTGCCAAAAATGCATGTCCTGTGCATTTAAGCTGCTTTTTCAGTACAGATTATGTTCATCGGCCTATGAAAATCTTTATATGGCATACAAGTACTTGATCACTCTAAGCACCACACAATGCTCCTGTGAACGGTGTTTTTCAAAGTTGAAAATTCTAAAATCAAGACTTAGATCAACGCTTACTCAGCAAAACCTGGAGACATTGATGCTTATTGCAATAGAGAAAGAAGTTTCTTTAAGCATAAAGAGAGACAAAGAGAAAATCATAGACCGTTTTGGCAAGACATCTGCTGAACTCCACTCTCTGCTTCTCTTTTAAACTGCAGACTGGCCAACGCTACAGGGAGTGCAGAATTATTAGGCAAGTTGTATTTTTGAGGATTAATTTTATTATTGAACAACAACCATGTTCTCAATGAACCCAAAAAACTCATTAATATCAAAGCTGAATATTTTTGGAAGTAGTTTTTAGTTTGTTTTAGTTTTAGCTATGTTAGGGGGATATCTGTGTGTGCAGGTGACTATTACTGTGCATAATTATTAGGCAACTTAACAAAAAACAAATATATACCCATTTCAATTATTTATTATTACCAGTGAAACCAATATAACATCTCAACATTCACAAATATACATTTCTGACATTCAAAAACAAAACAAAAACAAATCAGTGACCAATATAGCCACCTTTCTTTGCAAGGACACTCAAAAGCCTGCCATCCATGGATTCTGTCAGTGTTTTGATCTGTTCACCATCAACATTGCGTGCAGCAGCAACCACAGCCTCCCAGACACTGTTCAGAGAGGTGTACTGTTTTCCCTCCTTGTAAATCTCACATTTGATGATGGACCACAGGTTCTCAATGGGGTTCAGATCAGGTGAACAAGGAGGCCATGTCATTAGATTTTCTTCTTTTATACCCTTTCTTGCCAGTCACGCTGTGGAGTACTTGGACGCATGTGATGGAGCATTGTCCTGCATGAAAATCATGTTTTTCTTGAAGGATGCAGATTTCTTCCTGTACCACTGCTTGAAGAAGGTGTCTTCCAGGAACTGGCAGTAGGACTGGGAGTTGAGCTTGACTCCATCCTCAACCCGAAAAGGCCCCACAAGCTCATCTTTGATGATACCAGCCCAAACCAGTACTCCACCTCCACCTTGCTGGCGTCTGAGTCGGACTGGAGCTCTCTGCCCTTTACCAATCCAGCCACGGGCCCATCCATCTGGCCCATCAAGACTCACTCTCATTTCATCAGTCCATAAAACCTTAGAAAAATCAGTCTTGAGATATTTCTTGGCCCAGTCTTGACGTTTCAGCTTGTGTGTCTTGTTCAGTGGTGGTCCTCTTTCAGCCTTTCTTACCTTGGCCATGTCTCTGAGTATTGCACACCTTGTGCTTTTGGGCACTCCAGTGATGTTGCAGCTCTGAAATATGGCCAAACTGGTGGCAAGTGGCATCGTGGCAGCTGCACGCTTGACTTTTCTCAGTTCATGGGCAGTTATTTTGCGCCTTGGTTTTTCCACACGCTTCTTGCGACCCTGTTGACTATTTTGAATGAAATGCTTGATTGTTCGATGATCACGCTTCAGAAGCTTTGCAATTTTAAGAGTGCTGCATCCCTCTGCAAGATATCTCACTATTTTTGACTTTTCTGAGCCTGTCAAGTCCTTCTTTTGACCCATTTTGCCAAAGGAAAGGAAGTTGCCTAATAATTATGCACACCTGATATAGGGTGTTGATGTCATTAGACCACACCCCTTCTCATTACAGAGATGCACATCACCTAATATGCTTAATTGGTAGTAGGCTTTCGAGCCTATACAGCTTGGAGTAAGACAACATGCATAAAGAGGATCATGTGGTCAAAATACTCATTTGCCTAATAATTCTGCACTCCCTGTATATATTTTTGAAGCTGAAATTGGATGGCACTTCTGTTTGTTTTTATTATTTGTATTGCACTGATTTTGTTTGCATTGTAATTATTTTTACATGTAATTGTCTATTTATGAATATATATTTATTTTTTTTATTTATTTTTCATTCCACATAGTAAGTTCAAGAATACATAACATGGTTCTCATATAGGCAGATACAGGGTTTCTCTTGTTGCTGACACTGCTAGGCATGTGGAACATTTTTGGGTTTAAGTTGTAGCATGTTGAAACGTAAATAGGGGCTGTAGCTGTATTATATGTTCCTCTCTAGGAGGGTTAAGTGGCTCCTGGCTATGAAGCGTGATGTGAGTACCTCTCACTTCATTCTCACTCCGGGGGGTAAGTGATGTGCCGCCGTGTGTTGGATGAGGGGGGGATGATACTATGGCTTCCGGAGTGTCGGCTATTGGCATAGAGCAGTCTGTGGTGGGCTCTTGTGTATGTCATGTGGAGTATGTAAAGCCTATCCACAAGGTTGTGGGGAGTTATAGGTAGCCATTAAATCACATATATGTAAAGCCTATGTCTAAAAACCGAGACAAATTTAAACAAAATTAAACATTGAGTTTGAACTTGGTATAACTGTGCCGTCATGGGTTTTTGTTAGTGAGGAAACTGCATGCTGCAGGTAAAGTGTCCTTTAGCTTGGACGATAAGTCCCGGGTTGCCTGCAGCCGTCCAAGTCTTCTACCTCGAGGGTGTAGGTCGTCTTGTTGACCTGGGGACAAATTCTGGTATCGTTGTGGGATCTAGCTGTGAAAGTCCCAATGCTGTCGATTGATTAGGGCCTGCAAGTCCCAGTTTACGTAGAAGGGTTTCCAATTCAGAGAGGTCTCGGTCTTGGTGTGTCTTTCCTTGATGTTGGAAGATGAGTGCTCTTGGAGTCCCCCACTGATATTGGATGCTTTTGTCTCGGAAAAGAGGCAGGAGCGACCGCAGGGTCCTGCGCCACTCGATGGTACCTTTGGTGATGTCTGGGAACATGGACAGTGTGGCTCCTTCTAGTTGTAATGGAGCCTTCTCTCGTGCAGCCGCCATTAGGAGAGTTTTGTTCTGCATGGACTGGAAGCGGATGATCAGATCCATATGGGCAGAGGCTGGCTTTGGTAGCCTGAACATGCCGTCGAGCCGTATCGCCTTGGCCTTTTTGGGTGGCCGCAAGACGCCTATCATGCGCCTGACGAAATGAGGTAAGTCTATTAGGCCAGCAGTGTCCGGTATTCTGTGGATTTTGAGATTGTAACGCCTCCTTTGGTCCTCAAAGGCATCGACCCTGTTGCTGGTGGCTAGTTGCTTTTGTTGGAGTGAGTCCAATCTCTGGTCTTGGGAACTTGATGAGGTTTCCAGCAGGGTGATCCTCGATATGACGTTGTCTATGGCTTCCTTGATGCCGTCCATGTCTGCCGCAATGTTCTTCCGTAGTTCGGCTAGCATTCCCTTTATTTGGGTAGCGGTTTCTGGATCTCCAGTAGTGGCTTGCTGGGGCTTGGGTCTGGTAAGTGGAGCACTCGTTGCCCCCATTCCCATCTCGTTTGACTTGTCGTCCGAGGAGTATGATGGACCATCTACCTCCAGTGCCATTTTGTCCCACATCGGGGTCTGTGAGCGCTGCAGCATCTCCCCTATATCTCGGCCAGGGGGGCTTTTGTCTGCTCTTGCTTTTTTCGCCCCATAGCCTTCCCTGTGTAGGTTGAGGGTTGTATTGTTTGGCAGCAGTTTGATTTTCTTTCTTTAATCGTCGTTTTTCTCAGAAGGCCTGGAGCTCGAGTTGGCATGTCTGCTCTCTATTTACGATTTGTAATACTCTGGTTTTGTTCGTCTATTTATGATTTGTAATACTCTGGCTTTGTCTATTTATGATTTGTATTGCTCTGGTTTTGTCTGTTTATGATTTGTATTGCTCTGGTTTTGTCTGTTTGATTTGTATTACTCTGGTTTTGTCTATTTATGATTTTGTAATGCACTTGTTTTGGTTTGTCTATGATTTTGTAATGCACTTGTTTTGGTTTGTCTATTTATGATTTTGTAATGCACTTGTTTTGGTTTGTCTATTTTTGTAATGCACTTGTTTTGGTAATGATTTTGTAATGCACTTGTTTTGGTTTGTCTATTTATGATTTTGTAATGCACTTGTTTTGGTTTGTCTATTTATGATTTTGTAATGCACTTGTTTTGGTTTGTCTATTTATGATACTCTGGCTTTGTCTGTTTATGATTTTGTAATGCACTTGTTGTTTGTCTATTTATGATTTGTAATACTCCTGTCTGGCTTTGTCTGTTTATGATTTTGTAATGCACTTGTTTTTGTTTGTCTATCATTGGTAATGCAATTGTCTTTGTGCATTTGTTATTTATTTTGCACAGTTTGGTTTTTGCATTCGTTAATTAAATTACACTTGTTTAGAACATATTGCACTTTTGTTCCTTGTGTCTAAAGATTGTGTAGGGTGTGGCTGGAGGAGGGGCATGGAGGTGGGACAAGGGTGGGGCTTGCGACAGAACGTGGGTGGGTCC